GGGGATTTGTTAGCTTGAGAGATAAGGAGAGACATATGCTGGGAACAGGCTGAAGTAAGCTGGGTGGAGAATCTCTGCCCATCCTAGAAAATCCAAATCCCCCCCTTCCTCCCTTCGGCGTCCACCCTGATCACATCTGAAAAACCCATCTTGTCACACACAAAATTAGCCGCGTTTCCTACAATTGTCTTATAACATTGCGTTCGATATGGGAGAGGTTGGTCAAAATAAATGGTTTTAGGACTCGTGATATACCTAGTTTGACGAAAGACAAACTATTCAATTCTCTCAAATGAATCCATATATCGAAAAAATAACAATTCAAGTCCTTACTTTTTGAAGGAGCGCTTTTAATTATGCCCTTCAAGAAAAGGGTCTATATCATCCTCTCTCATTATAAGTTGATAACACAGACTTTGTTGATCACTTCTCCAACCATTATATCTCTATGTACGTAGTTTTGCTTTGGTTTTTGTCTACTTTCTCCATATATCTCACCGGTTCGACTTAAGCACATCGATGTCTAGATGGATGATCTTCCCATCATCTTCACATACTTCATTCACCCAAAATGATTGATAATGCAACGAAACTATGGCTGTTGCCCAATAAAGATTTCGCGACGAAATTATCATTGCAAATTCGTCAACTTTTAGCGGCGACCTGTTTTTTTATTGCGATGAACCCATAATACTCGTCGTAGAACTTTCTGCGACGCTGTATAGGCGACAAACTCTTTTTTCCTTATGCGACGGAACAATTCATCGGTTAAATTCTTTGCGACGAATTTTAGACTTTTTGCGACGAATTCTTTCCGTCGTAGAAAGTGAATTTTCTTGTAGTGTCTGGACCCAACAAATCATATTATCGGTCTAGTTTACTTGCCTGAAACGATTGGTATGTATCGTGGGGCTCACACAAACGGTCACAAGGCTAACAACACTTCATATTGTTGCATGCATTGAAATGCTATAAAGAAAAGGAGCTAGTACTACTCTTTCCCTTCATAACCTACATGAGTTCCATTCCTCTCTTTTGCACCTAAAGTTGTTGAAGAAAGAATGATGAGCCATTACTCCATATATACATAGAAAAATATTAATTGCAAAGAGTAATGGTAGATGTGGAAATTGGATGGATGACTGGACTTTTATATCATATATCATTTGATTGCAGGCCAAATATCATATGATGCTGATAGTGAAAAATTGAATATGGTGGTTGTAGTTGCTGCTATTCTGTAGAGGTAGATTTGCTTATGATTAGCCCATGATGAGAAGATTTCATTCTTCTCCTCCCTTGAGATAGAAAAAACGATATGTATAGAGAAGCCAATTTGAGTATTTGACCCAATTGATTTAACCCAAATTGATACCTCTTCAGACATGTTCATTGGTATGATACTTTTTTTTTGCCATAGTTATACCTGTAGGGAAGCAACATAGATTCAAAAAAGTAGGGCTAGTAAACGGTTATTCCGTTAATGATGTAATCAGTAATCGAACCGGAACTGTTGTTTAACGGTTATACCGACAACTGATTATATAGTAAACGGTGGTTCTGGGTAGAAAAATTTAGCTAATAACTAATCGATGGTCAAACGGTTAATAACCGACGGTTAAACGGTTAACCGATTACGATCATCCTTATAGTTACAGCCGAAAATAATAGACCTCCATGAGCTGCAAACATAGGCAAAAAATAATGTGGTGTTTGAAGACTTACAAGACCCCTTTCCTATCCTAGTTGTATAGTGACTTAGACTCAAATGAGAATGATTTAAAGGAAGAGTTTTAGAAGAAGCACAGTAGCTCGACAAGAATCAGTAACATTAATCTTCATTGTAATCTGGTGGGATTTACAAGTTGATAATTATTGTTGGGTCTCTTATCGTTGTATGCTTCTTTAATAAAGTTTGACTGTAGAATGGTATTATTGTGTACTTGTGTTGGATTGAGTTGATTATGTATTGATATATATATATATATATTAATTTATTTTTTATTCAATGATAACATACTACTTAAGAAAAAAACACATGTGTATGTATGAAAAATTATAGAAAATTTCACAATTGAAAAAAGGTCGAGCACCACACATGGCATGTAAGGAACTACTAAGGAAGAGAATCAAAGATCACCAGAATATTAGAAAAATATGCAACATAATCCACAATAGCTGAATGATAGCAAGATTTAAGTGCATGTAGAGGCATCATAATGCTAGATCAATCGATTAACCACGGGAAAAACAGGCAAAGGGATTGCCAAAACGGCCTCAATGATAGCTACATAAAAAGTTGGGGAAGAACATCTTCTTTCCAAGTACCATGACCATGATTAATTAAGAAAGAAAGATAAGAGTTTGGAAAAACCACACCAGAAAGCAAAACTGGGCTAGAGGGAGGAGTGGTGGGTAGCCAAACATAATCCGTTATATGAAACGAGGTTCCACAACCAATCATCCAGCGAATACCCTTAACCAATTAATCGCGATCCAATAGAATATCTTGCCACGCCCAAGAAGGTCGAGCACCACACATGGCATGTAAAAAAGTTGAATTCGGAAAATACTAGCCCTTGTATGTAGAAGCTAAAAGACCCTCAAGTTCACGAACCATGCACCAAACCTATTTCGCTAACAACGCAATATTATTAGCATCAAAATCACATAAATCAAGTCCGCCCTCCATTTTAGGTCGCATAAGGCGCGCCAGCCACCAAGAAGCTCATTGCATATCTCCCTCCCGATCCTGCCGACTCCATCAGAAGCGAGCAAGAGGTCCATTCAAACATCTGCAAAAAAGCGAAGGAAATCGGAAAACAAGACATTGCATAGATAGGCTAGAACAAGACAACGAATTTGATAACCGTCTATGATACTTGATAAGACTAATATCACATTTTTTTTTTATTTCTAACGTTATTATTATAATTTATTGGTATTTAAATTTTAAGAAACTCAAGTAGATGCCCTTTCCACCCAAAATAAATTGAAAAGGAGAGAAGCTTCCTCTATATATTTTTTTTACCACAATACATTGCATACAATCCCACTCCTTGATATCCCAAAAGAATGAAAGATTGTGTTGACTGATGATCATGATTTCTTCTTTACGGACCGTTTGGCTGATCAACCACTACAATAAGATGGGTTTCATGATTTCTTAGCTTGACTTCCATTCTCTTGAGTAATAATTAATGGTTCATCATCACATGGATATGGAGTTGCAACTTAAAAATCTTTTGCCGGTGCTAACTGTACTTATCATGGCAAGGGAGAGACGCGGGCGGACGCACGGGTTTGACGCCCCTAAATTTTCGAAAAACGATTATTCTATCTATGGTGGTAATTTACGTATGAATAAAAAAATATAATTTATAGTGAGGGAAATCCTTGAAATTTGAAAAAATAATTATTATAATGTTATTTTTTAAAATCGTGTATGGGAATATAAGTGATAGATTGGGTAATTCAAACATAGAGCACTATTATTATTAATACACTTAATTTTCATTAAACTACAATTCATTTGTTGTTCGATTTTGAATACTGCATTCCCTATCTCTAATTATTTTTAAAACCTAGCAATTAAACTAATTGCAACCTACCCTTAATTTGTATTGATTTTATAGATGTACGACAAGTGTTGAAAGAGTCTTTCAGTTTTGGTTACATCAAGAATAAGTTTACAAATCGAATATGCGATAAGTTCGTGAATGATTGTCTAGTAGGGTATATAGAGACAATTTTCTTAACATTGTAGACACCAAGTGTATTCTACAATTATTTAAGAATATGAAAACACATAATGGACTTAACCTGTACGAGGTATTTTCTGATTTACATTTTATTTTTATTAATTATTTTATTTTTATATTTATTACATTTATTTTTAAAAGAGGATACCCTATGAAAAATTCTTGAGTCCGCCACTGGGGAGATGTATATTAAATGCCTATTTGGGCAATCCTATAGTGATTGGAGTTGGCTCTTTGATTCCATTTGTATACCAAATTTCACCGATTGTGGGTCTGTTGGTTAATCAATCTCGACAGGATGGTGTAAGTGTGTAACAACAATCTGATATTAATAAAGCTTCACGTAGATTTATATAAAAGAAAACTACTCGTCAGTTGAAGAAAAGAGAAAGAACATTACTAATCCTCGTTCTAACTTTATAATTCTCATAAATTAAAATTATATTTATATCCTTTTTATTATGAGATTATTTTATTCTAACTAAAATAATTTACTACTAGACCTGGCAAATTACAACCCGACCCGTTGACTCGATTCGAAACCGCTCGAAAAGTAGAAAATTTTCTAATCCGAAATTCGAATGACCCAAACCCGATAACCTGTGATTTTTTGGGTCGGGTTGAGTGGGTTAGTGGGTCGAGCAGTTAGACCCGTTCCATTGTATATATCACTCCCAAAATGATAAAATCACTCATAAATTGGTGAGATGTTTTAAAAAAAAAACACAAGGATTTGAATGACATGTTTGGAGTTTAAGGATAATCAAATATCATGTGTACCTTGTAGTAGTATTACTCTTGTGATTGTATTTTGACGCTTCGCGCAATTTGTATTTCATTTTGTTAGTATGGGAGGATTTGAGAATATGTAAATTGATATGTGGTAGGTAAACTATTGTCATGCATATGTGAAAATTTGTGTTTTTTAAGAAAATATGAAGCATGGTCTATCCATAACGACCTGTAACCCGACCCGAAATCAAATAGATTGAGTCAATATTTAATTCGAAATCAACCAACCAACCAAACATGACCCGACCCATAATCGGTGTCCCCAACCCAACCCGATTATCAGGTCTGCTACCACCTCCACCCCAACTATGTTCCCACACATCTCGAGTCCAAGCCTTTTAGGGCCATGAGACATGCGGCCCAACTCGCCCAACTCTTCTAGTTGGGCCTTCGTTTGGGTATCAAACTTCTTTCTCTTTGTTTTTGGAGTCTCAACTGTCTAATAATCTAGCAGTTGAGATTTGAGAGGTAGTTCCAAATGAGGTCCTGAATTTGCTGGTTTGGCTTCCCATCGTACGAAAAGAGACTCCTGTTAACTTCTCTACTGCGCCTCAATTCTTCATCCACAATACCACTGATCTTATTCTTGCTATCTTCCCTGACACCAATGACTCTGGCGGCAGCAGCTAGCGTCGAGGAACAAGATGCTGCATTCTCTATGCACAACTGGAAAAATCTGGACTTTTTTAACCAGAACAACGTCCAGCAAGAACCAAAGTGATCGAAAATGACGTATAGTTCAAAGATATACAAGTTGAACGATATTCCATAATCATAAGTGGGATTCTTAGGGTCAGCACTCAGCACACAAACTAAAGTTAGTGTCTTTATCATCAGACAACAAAGGTGCTACTCAATTTGATAATCATCAAGTACCAGGTTTATGATCTTCCAGCAAACTATTGGCAGCTCTAAACTAAGCAGAAACTAGACCACAAGATTTTACATAACAGGTCATTCCTATCCATTCTCACATCCATGCATTCTTACAACAGTTCCATCATCTGATATTCAACTCTGCTGCACTTTACACGAACACTAAATCCTTCCATGCAACATTATATTCTTGAATGAACACAATTTACTCATTTGCCACAACCGTGTGTAAGAATGGATTTCCACTTTTTCTATATACAATCACCCCCTTGTTCTCCCCCCCAAAACCCCAACTCTACCACCCCTACTTTTTAACGGTTGCAGATTCCAACATATTCAGACATCAGACTTCCATACATCACTAAGGCTGCCCACCTCTATTCTAAACTTAGACGGTAGAACAAATGTTTACATGCTTTGGAAACATTCACAGAACCTGAGGGAGGAGAGCGTAAAAAGAAGAAAAGAAAAAAAACCGACCCGAGTCATGCCCTATTTCATCACTCACTGTACCAGATCAACTATCGTCATCATACAAAGTTCTTTTTTTGCAGGAACCCTAATTAAATATCAAGGTATTAGGTGAATTCACCATTCCCCTCATATTCTCTCAGTCAGTTCTGAACCTACCCTGCACAATAAGGAGCAGCAAGCAGTAAGTCGTATGAACTCATGGTGAAGGATGTTGCTAAAGTCACCATCTTGATTATTTCGATTCTAAATTGGAAAGGGAGAATCAGTTCCAAGAGCAAGGGAAAATGGGATTTACCTCCTACATATGAAAACTTGGAAGTCAAAAGCCTTTCCCAAACTCTAAATAACCACTTCCAAAAACAATGAACAATAGGATGCCAATCATTTTTCAGCCTGCTACTTTGATTGCGCCAATGTCATCGATTTTTGAGCTCTTGTGCTGCAAGAACAAAAAAGGGTGACTTACTAGGCAAAAGGTAGGGGGGAGAAACACAATTGTAAGGCATTCCACAGCCTTCTTACCTTACTTTTCTTGTGTCTGTGAACATCATTTAGCTCTTCGTCCCCATCGTGTTTCCGTTTCTGAATTTGTATGTATGAAAGAGTCCATATTAGAGTGCAAATTCAATTAAACTGAGAAGAGAAATTTGAGTTTTCCACAATAATGGAAGAGCCAGAGCATGCAACAAAGGATAATTGAATAACCATCTGGATGCCCATTTAAGAGACACAGGAAAACAATCGCCCGGTGCATAAATCCAATCAACTATATACTTGAGAAAAGGAACCAATGAGTGATGATATCTAACCTTTTCATGGTGCTTTCTTGAGTGATCGGGATTAGATTCATGGTGACCACTTTTGTCCTTCTTCTTCTCCTTGTCTTTATCCTTACTTCGGTCTTTATCTTTGTCTCGATGACGGTGCTTATGCTTCTTATGCTCTCTATCCTTGTCCTTATCTTTATCCTTGTGCTTTTTATGCTTTCTCTCCTTGTCTTTCGACTCGGTCTTTGATTTTCCTGCAATCGTAGGAGTCCCCTTTTCCGACTACAGCAGATGAAGAAGACCAAGCAAAAAGCTCAGCACGGAATCACAAAAGACAAATGCAAAGGAAGTGCAGTACACTTACAGCAGGCAATTCTACAGGAGTGGTTTCCTTCAGTTGGAAGGCTTCCCTAAGCAAATCAAGGTCGAATGGCTTTATACGTATACTTCCATCTCTTGGCTGGGAATTATTCTGGATAAGCTGGTCCAATTGCATCCCATCCCCTTTTCTGATTTCAGTATCTCCAACAACATTATGAAGGTAGTGTGTGTCAGCAATTGACACAGGAAGTGATTTCTTGCAAAAGAAGTCGTGATGGGGCAACAATTTGAAATGACTTATAAGATCAATAGCACCAGTCAACTCTCTTGGTCCTGAAATTTGAAGAACATAAATCATCAGGACATGTAACTCTTAGTCTTGAATTAAACTTCTACATGGAAAAGGATTTGTTATAATAGTGAAACAACTAGTACCAACAAACTAGAAATAATGCTTTGAATCTACAGTTACATATATCAAGATTTCCCTTTTCATCCCTCGATCCGATTCTACAAAGTAAACCAACAAGCCAGATTATAAAGTGCTGGATAACGGCAAAAGATTAAATAAGTCGAGGCAAGAAAGAGCAAGGATTTGTTCTCTAAAGCTTCCTAGAGAGGTAAGTAGTTCACATCTTGCATATGATGAGGGCTCAGCCGGTTACACAAAGCAAGCTGAAAGATCATTAGCACTCATTGGATTTTGGTAGCAGTCAATAACATATTTCACAGAGAATTCTAAATCCAACGCATACTGATAAAAAGTAAAGCTCCATAAGTATTGAAGCTAAAGATCTTTTTTATTTAAAACATTTCTGTTCTGCTCGAGATAATAGGTAGGTGAATAAGACATATATTCAAAACATTCCACCCCTTCCTTGAAAGGGATATTCGTAATAATGCTTGAGCATGACTCCAAAATCGCTTCAACATCGCACCCGAAGCATAAAAATGACATCTAAACAAGCATTCGTCTAACGCAAGAACAAGTTCTTACCACTTCCAAACTTCTTGGTATCAGGATCCATGTATCAGTATTTCCTCAATCGATGATAAACTATCTGCAAGATGAATGCCATGGCGTTATAATTCCATGAAAGCTCAAATTTCCAACAACAGTTATGCTCATGTTAATGATCAGACATGCATAACAAATGCATTCAAAATATGCCAGGACACAGACGTACAGTCAGTATGCTTAAGGGTAAGACAAAAGTAGCTGCTGGCATCCAAATTCACGAGATATCCCTTTCCTCAAGTAACCCCGACAATCAAGAACAGGAAGCTAGTGAAATGACAATAACCAATGCAGTAAATCTTAAAGTTAGGCATTTTGCTAAATCTTTCTCCTGCATTACTTCTTTTCTAAAAGATGTGAAATTATTCCTGAACATATCGGATGAGTTCAGCCTCAATAAAGATTGAGTCTTAGCCAAGCATCATCAATAACAGGAGACTTTATTTGAATGTAAATTCTTCCCACCAATGAATCCAAGAGCTTTAATAACTTGCTTCGACAGAGCTAGAACGACTCTCGGAAAGTAATTTGATTTTCAACTACTAACAAGTCAAAACTTGATCCGTACGGAAAAAGGAAATCGGTTCCTTTATCCTACTACTGGTGATCCAATCTAATTCAAATATAAAACTCTACGATGAAACTCAACAAACTAGCCTGAGCTTCATCTGAAAACACACACAAAAAAAAAAAAAAAAGGAAGCAATACCCACAAAACGAAAGAGACAAATGAGATTGAAAGAAAGGACGCGGCATTGACGGGAAATTCAAACAAAGTCGACGAGAGGCTCAAACACACACCATTGACATGAATCCCCGAAAAATTCTTCAACCGGGGAAGTAACAAAAATCACAGCTTGGGTTCGTCAGCGACTAGTCTCCTGCACCTTTGTAAGTAAGACCCTCGACTATAAGAAACCCCAATACGCTGGGAGACTGCGCGCTTCCTTCCTACAGTGATCTTCCGCAACAGGAGATTACAATACCATTGATTCGATACAAATGATAAGTCGACAGCAGCAGCGGCCCAATTCCAGGAATCCCAATAAGCAACGGGGTAAAAAGATACGAATTGACCGGTGGGAAATCGGGTAAACGACGAATTGAGAGGGGGAGAAAGACACCGGAGAATTGGGCGGGAAGAGAGAGCAAGAAAGAGGTGTGATTGCAGGGATTTTTGCAATTCGGGAGATCAAAATGACGGGAAGGAACTCGAGATTGGGAGGAGGGAGAGTAGTGTGAAGAAGAGATGGTAGTGGGGAAGGAATTTGGGAATGGTGTGTGAGAGTTGGAGTTCGCTCGCAGCAGCTAGGGTTTCGACAAAATAAGGGGAAGAATAGGGAGGGATTGCTTGGAGCTTGTCGCGAAATAAAAACAAAAATAAATATGCCAATAGTATTGTATTTCCTTCTCTCCTTTGCTTTCTTTCCTTAATTTATTAGGTTAAGATGATAGATTGTTCCACCAATTTTTAAAAATTCTTTGAAAATGATTATTTTCTGACCTCAAAACAACAACAAAATTGGTATGGATCTCACAACAAATTAAATCTATTAACATGTAAATATATTTTATTTTGGAATAAAAGGTAAATATTTACCTTTGTTGTGAGATCCATACCAATTTTACATTTGAGTATATTTACCTTTTATTCCAAAGTCTTAATTACACACCTTGTAATACATGACTTGGATGTAATTCATCAGCACAAAATGATTTAAAATGGATGTATGCCAATCTACAATATTCAAATACTTCAATTCATTCTATTATATTTTGCCCACTATACATTTCAATTGGTTCATTATCATATAATCAGCTTAATTGCACAGCACATGTATCTTTTCTTTCACACATTAAAATTTTCATATTGTAAGAAAAAAAAAGTACAACAATATATAGTCCTACCCACATTGTCAATTTCAAGTTACTTGAAATCCAAACAACATCAAGGTTGACCTTTGGCCTTAGAATTGGGGAATCCATAAGGTAATTAGTGGAGAAAAATGCTAATTTCTTACAACGAACTCTCGGGGACTTCCTTCATCCAGTAGATGACTAGTACGTCAACTTATCAAGAACTCAAGATCCCTCCTACAGGATATTCGGTAAATTCGAATCTTTTCACCGTCACAAATTACCGTTGAGCCCCCGTCGTTGTTTCCTTCCTATCGAACAAGTGAACAACTACACTACTTAAACAAGTAAACAAAAGACTGCAACTCATTCAACGGGGAAAAAAAAAAAAAAAAAGACTGCAACTGCAGAGTATGATATTACACCTGTGACAGTTTTCTCAGTTTATTGACCTTCTACCTCGTCCATTGTCAAAAAAAAAAAAAAACCTCGTCCATTGTCCTGTAAACAATTAATTACATGGTACAAACTCTACTATATATTAGGGCTGTTATAAGCCTCGTGGAGCTATCCACATTCGTAGTAGCAGTAGTAGCGAGTTGTCCTGTAAATAATCACATTGCTAATAGTTTCCAAGAAACTAATATGCTGCTTTTGATTTCTCGACTTCATCTAAGCATCAACAGCGCAACGATGGATGCCTGAAGATGCTGCTCAGTGAGGTCTCCAAGGGCACTTGGTGCTGTATGCCTCCGGTTCCAGATCTCCCCAGTTAAAGTACAATTTTTCAATGTGGGAATGGGGGATATTGGAAGTTGTAACCTGTTGTATTTATGTACTTCAGCATAATGAGAGGAATGATAGTGGATCAGTGGAGTGCAATCTATCTCATATCCAATAATCCAACAGTACACAGATTATTTGCTATGAGAGATTACATAAAACAATCAGGTGCTGAGAATCATATAATGCCATTACGAAGTTTAAAGTTCAAACCTATATTGATGGTGGCTCCCGTGGCGGTGCAACCCATGCCAGATTGAGAAATCAGATACGATCAATTAAACCCACCTTACACGAAAGATATAGATAAAATAAACTCAGTATTTGGTTCTAAGCTGTCCTTAAACTGAGAGACGAACAGTTCGAAAGCCAAAAGTAGATTCAGATGACATGACAACTGCTTTACCTTCCATTCCATTGGGTATCTGCTGGAGGAGCATGAATCCTGTATCATGCTAGATAAGAAGATGCAAGCTTCATCCATGTGGAAAAACACAGCTTCGAAATATATTCTGGCAAATCTGCCTGCAAAAATATTAAGGAGTATCATACACTGCAAAGTTCCGAAGCAAGACTTGCCTTTTGAACACTCTTTAAACAGAAGAAAAATAGACTCACATTTGTCAATGATGCTGAATAATTGTCTGTAGATAGCAACCAACTGCTCCCATCAGCAGCTTCCAAACCGACTCCAAAACCATTCAACCTATTATACTCCAACAACTCATCACTGTCATCATCTAAGTTTCTTCTCCTCTTCTTTCTCCTTTCCTTCTTGTGCTTCTTCCTCTTAGTCGATTCTCCACTGCCCAATTCAGGTTCGCTGTCTTCATTTATCAGATCATATTTATTTGTCCTCTTGAAACCGATTCCATTATCTGAAAACAAAGATTCCCATGCCTCAGGTTTCCTGCACTCCTCTGACAATGAATACTGAATAACCCATGACTGAATCCCCAATAGCTTAATCACTTCTTCCCTTGTTTTTTTCTCCTTTAAGCACTCCCTCAGCAGAGGGCTCAAGGTGTTAGCATCGCTCAGGATTCTGCACATCTTTGAAATAATATCCTCAATTTCTGATCTCTGCTCCTCAATATCCTCCTCACGGAGTAGCCTCAAGAGATGGCGTCCATGGTTTATGACCCCATTGACCAAAAGAACCCGATCAATAGACCCACCATTTTCAGAAAGGATTATCTCGAGCCAAGAAAGAACCCCACCTTCTTCTGACCTGGGTTTTAGATTCCTACGAAGCAACTCAAGGAAAGAAGAGAATTCCTTCTCTTCTAGAACTATAAGGAGATGGTGACACAGAGAAGAGAACGGCTCCTCCATGAGAAACTCATTTACAAGATCCCACACATCTTTTGAATCATCCTTGAACATCAATCTGACAAAGAAGTCAAGAAAGTACTTCCGATCAATTGCTAGAATCTCACCATCTTTGAGTGACTCTTGGAATTCAGTGGATGACCAGAATTCCGGGACGTGTTTGATGAAATTCTCTACTGTTTGATGTACATCTAGATCGAGAAGGTAATGTGGCTTCGTTGCTACTACAGCAGGCGATTGTCCATGCTTCCCTCTCCACTCAAGCTCCTCCCAACAGATGTCGCGGTTGACAAATGCAAACTGAAACAACGCCTTGGCGCCCTTTTTGTGCTCTAATCCAGCTCCATTAGCAAAGTTGGAAAACCACTCAGATATTCGCATAGAGTTTCCTGCAAAAGAAACATAATTGTTAAGGCAACAAGCATATCAGGAGAGGGAGTACAAACTACAACAAAGGAAAGTGACTGAACTTGCCTTGGAAGAATCTCTCAAGCACATGACTCCTTTTCGATACAATTCCGCCTGCTCTGTGAGCCCTCTTTGTGAATATCATCTGCAGTAGCTGAGTTGCTATCCCTACCTGAGTAGGCTTGGTTCTGAGAAGCTTCACGAAGATGTCTCGTTGCTGGCTGGGAGTTATGGATTCAATGCCTCCAATGGTGTTGCATAGCCATAAACGAGCTTCTGATCGACCTGAAGCTGTCATCAATGACCAAAGAACAGAACCTAACTGGTTCAAGACAGAGACCCATCTCTCCCCCAATTCATTATCTCCATCACAATCCCCACTCGAGTTCGGCTTCGAGAGAAGCAACTGCACCATTCCTGCTAAAAAAAGTAATCAGACTAATCAAAATCAATGATGCAGAAAGAGAATTCGCATCACGGTGAAAACCAGTTCTTCATTCTATACGAGTTCTATGTGGCGGAAAATCAAGAGGCGGCCGAGAAGAGAAATCGAAACTGCAATTGAAGAAACGAAACAAACGCGAAGTGTGGATCGAAGGAGGATGAAGGAGAATCAGACCTTGGGTGGGAGTTCTAACGTAAATTGAGGCCGCCGGAGAAACCGAGAGAAAAGGCAGAAGAATCTCTTCGCTTGCGCGGCGGCGGAAAGCTGACCGGAGTAGCAGCAACTTTCTCAGCTTCGCTCGATTGGGATTTTGCAGCCTTCGTGGAACGTCGTCGTTGCACAACCTCGAGAGTCGAGATCAAGGTTGGCAAACCTATTTAATCCATCGAGTTGTTTGGCAAGTGGTTTGATGTTCAATCGTTGGTCGGAATTCAATTCAACCTGTTTAAATCAATTTTAACAAGAGACTGTAAGCGAGGATTGGAGAAACCATTAACACCAAATAAATCTCATGTTTGTGCCACGAACCCTCCTGATCTCAGCCTGCTCCAGCGGCGCCCCGACGACACGTCCGCAACCTGCACACCACGGCGCCCAGCGAACCCCTTTGGGTGGGGGTTCGTTAGCACTCCGACGCCCAAGTTAGAACGACCCTTTTAGAGAGAGAAGCAAGACACAAGTTTAGAGAGAAGTTGGAACCTGAGTAAATGAGCTCCACCCACTTCACTATTTATACTCGGGGTAGGACCGACCGGTGCCCCCCAAATCCGCCCCACGTCATCACCGCATTAAATGCACTGTTCCCTCCCGTTGTCAGGCGCCCTGCCATTCTGATACCTACCTTGGCCCCGCAGGCGCATGGCCCCACTTCCTGTCTCCTCCGTACGTCCCCGGCCGTTACTTCCCTTTTGTCGTCATGCGCCCTGCTCCGGGCCCGGTTCCCTCACTTGGGCCCTGTCCCTCGGCCCTTTTCTCTGCCCAGGCCCACACTCCAGGCCCAGGCCCTCTCCCTGATTCCCTGTTTGGGCCACTCGCTCTATGCCCCCCAACAATTGCCCCCCAGTTAGGCGCCTACCTCGAGGTGGGGGCCTAACTAACCCAGTCACTTTACGCGGCGCCTCCTTACTTAGTACGCTCTCTTTGGCTCCCACATTGGCATCCCAGCAAGGCGCCTCCCTGCTTAGTACGCTCTCTTTACGCGGCGCCTCCCTTGCACGGTCCGCCTTAGGTTCTTTCCCCCCTCTTGTCGACTAACGCGATCTTCTCTCTCTTTCATAAAAAATTCTGCGCTCTTTTGTGGGGCGACCATTGGGCTCCCGCATCGATCACCGGTCCATTCCCCCCTCCCCCGAGGCTGAAGCGATTTCCAAAATTTTTGAATTTTGAATTCGCCTCAGCCTTGGCGACGGTTCGGATCCCCTACTCCGCTTCCTCTCTCTTCTTTTCGCCTATAAATTGCCCCCCACTCTCTCTTCCTTCCTCACTTTGCAAAAATCTCCCTTCTCTCTACTTTCTCTCTCTAAGCTCTCGTGGCACTGCTCTCCTAGTGTTCTTCGCAACTCTCGGCCACATCCCTCGGCCACGTTTCTCGGCCAATTGTGCTAGGCGCCTTGCCTCTCTTCGCAACGTTCACCCTCCACCATTCTCCTCATGGCCTCCTCTAACCAGCCAGGGTCCCCCAAGGCGACGCCTGCCGACGTGGCGCCTCCCACTGCCGCGCCTGAACATGTGGCGCTGGCGGCCGCAGAGCCTGCAAACGCCGCGCGTCCCAATAATGCGCCTTCGGATGCACCAGCCGCTGCTCCAGGTACCTACACGCCTTACCCTCTTTATGCGTCCTTCGAGTTTCTTGAGCGTACGTCCTACACGGGCCATTCCATAAGTAGGATCGTTTAGCCCCCTCATCGCCCAAGTGCCTTCCGCCTCGTGTTTTGAGCCTCTCTTTTCATCCTAGCCGCCTTCTTCATGAGCGCCTCTCTTGACCTCCTCCTTTTCTTCTTACTTAGGCACCGGCGCGCCTCGCGAGTTTGGGATAAGCCAGTGAGGCAACATGTGGCCGCCTGGGTATATGCCCACGGACATTGACCTAATGTCCGAGGAAGACGCCGGGCCGCCACACGTCTCCAAACTTCTATATTCTCGCTTCACCTCCCTCATCCGGGCGGCCCAGATGCCCGCTGACTAGCGTTACGCGCATCCCTCGCCCATCGCGCGCGTGGGGGTTTGCGGCGAAGGTTGGATCGGCGTATATCAAGAGTACGCGCGCTTCGGACTCAGGTTCCCCATCGATCCTATCCTGGAGGGCGTGCTACATGTGGCCGGGTGCTCCCTCGGGCGCCTGTCGCCCGTAATAATCTTATACACCGTCCTCTTCCGCCTTAAATGCCGCCAACACAACATCCTACCTTCTTTCAAGCTTTTCCAACATTTCTTCATTATGATTAGAAGCCCCAATTGCTTCAGCCTACACAAGCGCCCGAAGCTGGGGTATCACTTCATAAGCAAGGGCAAGAAAATGGGGCGCTCTTGGTTCGAGAGTTTTTTCTTCGTCCGCCCTCGGGACACGCCTTTCTTCGAGAGTGGCGCCGCCCCCCTGACCCGCTGGACCTTTGGGGACGAGACTGCGTTCAATCAACATCCCCGCTTAAACAAGGCGGAGGAAGACATGGCCCGGCGCCTTGCGTCAGTCCCCATAAATCTTAAGAAAGACGACGCCTATGCCCAATACTTAGCGGAATTCTATAACGATGGTAGATTCCCAAGTCTCAACCTCGCGCCTTTCTATGCCTCATGCGCCTTGCCTGACATTTTTTTTTTTAACCGCAGGTACCGTGTTCACGAACATCTCGGACCTGATACGCTCGAAGCTTCACCTCATCCCGCCCAAGGCGCCTCGAAAGCGCGGGAAGACCAGCAAGGCGTCTGCTGGGCCATCCCAACCTGCGCCAAGGAAGCAGGTGAGGCTGAGGGTTATTTCCAACCGTCCTGCGCCTTCGGAAGGCGCAGGGTCTCCCGCCACGACTGAGGCTCCCCAGCGATCAAACAACTCTCCCATCGACCTCGACGAGGAGCGGGGCGCCTCCCCAGAACACCAGAGCCGGGGCGCCTCCCGCTCTCATCAAAGTCCCGGCGCCTCGCCTCGCAGCCAGGGCGCCACGTCCCAAACACCTCCTACTGCCTCCCAACCCCAAGTGTCGGAGAAGAGGCCTGCCGAGCCGCTTCTCTCGGCAGCAAAGAAGGCCAAGCTGGACAACGTAATAGCTTCAGGCGTGCCCGCCAGCTTGGTGATGCCCAGTATTGGCAAACACACGGGGAAGGTCATACCCCCTTACCTTCAACCTCCATCGCGCCCATTGGAGAAGGTCGCCGTAGGTGTGCCTGTTAGGGCGGCCAAGGATCCAGGCGCGTCCATGCAGATGATGCTGTCCCATGCCGCCGTGATCGAGCGGCCCGAGCGCCTCAATACCAGCCGCCCCCTTCGCACCATGGCCAACCTCAACGTTCAGGTAAGGCGCCTGACAGACCTGGTTCCTTGTTCCGCGAAGTACGTGTCGATTCTGAGTCTAATGTGAGTACTTTGTGCATGTACTAGATGATGATGCTGATCGAATCCACTGCGCGTGAATTCGATCGTCTGGCCAAAGAGAGCTCGGCCTCGGAGAACGCGACGGAGCGCCTACAAAGCGAGCTGGCCGCCGCTCGCAAAGCGCATGACACCCTGAGCAAGGCGCGGGATGAGGCACAGAATGAGGCCCAAGCTTGGGCGTCCAAGCTCTCCACTGAGCTCGAGGCGGAGCGCGCAAAAATTAAGGCCTCCGTTGAGGAGGAGTGCAAGAAGCGCTATGACGCGCAAGCCGCCACCACCAGAGCTGAGGCGTCCGAGGTAGAGAAGGCGCTGCGCGAGAGGCAGGCAACCCTCCTCGAGGAGCGTGACAAGTATTACGCGGACGCCCGGAAGTCCGCGGACGCCTTGAGGAGATCTTGCAGGGCCCACGAGCAGTGCAAGAAGGACCTGAAGGCGGCCACATCTGAGGCTGCACGCCTGGAGAAAGAGCTCTCCGACTATCCCAAGTCGGCGGCGGGGAAAAACCTCCAAGCGGACACTGTGATCGACACGGTGAAAATCCTTCGAGATAAGTTCAATAAAGATGTCCCAGAGGTGGAGTTCGACCCCATGGCCATGATCCTGCACATTCTCAAATTCATGGACAGCGGTCGCAAAGCAAGTGACCTGGAGCCCGTTGTGGGGTTGGACGCTCCCCCACCTGATGAGGAGGTGGAAGAGGGCGACGAAGAAGAAGAGGAGCAGGAGGAAGGGAGTGAGGGCGGTGACGGGGGCGCTGGTGATGATGAAGGCGCCGGTGATGAGGAGAGGCGCTCTTCTCAGCATCAGGGGACGCCGGAGGGGACGGTGCAGAGCGAGGAGGAATGAATCGCTGTTTATTTATCTTTCCTTACCTTGCTTGCTTTACTTTCGATGTAACCCTCTCATTCTTGCAACGAACTTTGTCCATTTTCTTAAGTTTTCACTTTGCTATCTACGTACGCCTTATGTGTAAGCATCGCTATCCATAAGTTCGAATGGGACGTGGCCAAGGCGCATAGTGTTTGGGCGCTTTATGCCTAAGGCAAACGTAATTTCGAGGGCGCAAAAAAGTAGGGCGCTTTACTGACGAAGATGTCTCGATATTCAGGCGCAAAAATAGGGCGCTTTACCACCAACGGTGTAAAAATATTCAGGCGCGAAGTAGGGCGCTTTACAATTCATATTGCTATGACCCTATGGCGCAAAAGGGAGGGCGCTTTACGATATTCCTTCTCGGCGCGTGGGGTGGCGCGCTTGCAGTAATAATAACCCCCTTACATTTAACATACTGACTTCCCACTTCGAGCCAAAATGGAGGCGCCCGTCCCCTTGCTGCCACCGCACTACTCGGCAGCTTCTCTCCCTTCGCTCTCGTGATACACTTTGAGATTCTGGGCATTCCATGTTCGCTTGACGGCCTTCCCCCCGATGCGCTCCAGCTTGAATGTGGCTGGTCCGATCACCTCCCGAACACGGTACGGACCTTTCCACTTGGGAGCAAGCTTCCCCTCACACGGCTCCGGCCGGAAGTCTCGGCGTAGCACCATGCTGCCCAGGCGTATTTGATGCGGGCGCATCCTGAGGTTATAGTATTTGGCCACTTGCTGTTTCATGGCCTCGAGCCGTACTGACGCAATGTCCCGGCGTTCCTCCAGCATGTCAAGGTCATGTATACGCTCCTCCTCGTTTGCCGGCTCCTCATACCTCGCCATGCGATGCGTTGGGAAGCGCATCTCCACCGGGATGACCGCCTCACTACCGTAGGTTAGCGCAAAGGGCGTTTCTCCTGTTGCCACCTTGTATGTTGTTCTATGCGCCCAGAGCACACCCGGGAGTTCCTCCACCCATCTCCCCTTGGCCTCCAACAACCGCGTATGGAGTCCGTGCAAGATACTCTTGTTAGCCGCCTCGGCTTGCCCGTTGGCTTGAGGGTACGCCACTGACGAGAAGCGGAGGATTACCCCGTGTTCATCACAGAATTCGATGAACTGTCGGCAGTCAAACTGCTTACCGTGGTCGGTGACGATCGATTCAGGCAGCCCAAACCGCGAAAAGATATTCCTGGTCGTAAACTTCCTGACCTGAGCCTGGGTGATGGACGCCAAGGGCTCCG